AAAAAAAAACATCGTAAAATTTTCATCAAAATTTCACACTTTTTATTCAGAATTTATAGCATTTTTTTGGTATGTAGTCCATTCAAGTTTAGTATAATAAAGTGCAAGTCGCTACAATTTGTTTTTTGTTGACTGCGATGCGCACTTTCTTCCATTTAACGCATGCACAAATTCTGTTCTATATGGAAAAAAATGTGCAACATCCTCGATAGAAATGTTTTTCAAAAATCAAAGGTATTCTCTAACGACTTCAAACTTGTACTTTATTAAACTAAAATTGAATCGGCTATAAAACTGCATACCAAACAAAACTCTAAAAATGCAGGGAAAAAGTGTGAAATATTGATGAAAATTGGACGATTCTTTTTTTAATTGTTACAAAGTTAGAAACTTCGAGTTTTATGTATTTTGTATTGGAGTATGAAATATATTTTTATTTAAAATTAGTAAAATTTGAATTAAACACAATATTTTTAAAATATGGGAAAAAATTGGCTGTATGGTTTTGACTGACACTCACTGTACATATATGCATATGTACATATCGCACACCGTCTTCAAAAGAGTCACAACTCAAAATAATACATTTGTCAGAAAATACGAAAAACTATTTCTTAGCACATGATAGTCATATGGGCAAGGACGACTTTACCTTAGGTTTTTTTTTTTAAAATATAACAAAAACTTGTTCCAGCTTTTGCTGAAAGGTAAATAAAATCTCTGTGTACATTTTTAGCGCATAATTTCACAAGTGCTAAATTTTGAGTTGTGACTCTTTTGAAGACGGTGCGCGATATGTACATACATATGTATATATATATATACCTACATGCATTGCAACCACATGCACTTGACGCTTATTGCACGCCCTCTGCACTCCTTTACTGGCTGATGCGCAGCTGGAAGTCTGATTATTTTGCGTTGTGCACAGCACGCAGCCTACGGCAAGGTATGCCAAAAATAGCATCAGAAGCAGCGGTGGAAGCAGCGAGTAATTTTGAATCGATCGGGCATTTAGTTGACTGCCTGCCTGCCTACCGACCTGGCCTGATTGCTTCTTACTGCGGGCTGCCCGCACATTTGATTCGACGGTGGCTAAAAATAAAATGCCCAAATTCTAAGGCGATGTGTAAAAAAAAACCAAAGCCATCGGCAGGAAAGATGGACATATTACGGAAAAGGTAGAGGTAGGAGGAAGCAAAAGTAATTTTGTTTAATCGAAACAATGCAGGGAAGGAAAACGAAGAAATCAACAGAACAAATGTTCTGATGTTTTTCAGATGGTTTTTCAGATGGTTTTTCAGATGCCCGTACATATTTATACCCGTACAAATATACATAAGTATGACACATTCGTGTACGTATTTGCACGTACGCGTGGAAAAGGAAATCGATTATTTGATTATTTCAAACAAAGAAAAATATTTAAAGGTAGATGGCAGGGGTGTGAAGGGGGGGGGGGCGGATTTTAGCAAATGTACGAGTATGCTAAAACATGAGCATTTCTGCTTTCTTATATCTAAATATGTAAATAGTTTTGAAATTATAAATTATAGCACATATTTCACATATGCTTATGTGTACATATGTATTAGGGCGGATCGAAAATCTAATTTGTCTCAAAATATTAATTAGTTTTATTTTAATTGTAAGAGCCCGCGCATCGACCGCCAAGTGACACACAGCAAACTACTCGAATAAGAACAATTCTTGTTAAAAATGGGTTCAGCAAAAAGGTTTGGTGCATATTATTAGATAATGAACCCGTTAACGCACAAGATAAAGTAAAATGTCATTTCTCGTAGCACGTTAGGTTATCGTTAATTTCAAACTTATCTAGTTTTCAAGAAAATTTTAATTGTTCTCTTGATAATTGCACTGGCCTATAGACACAAGAGAGGAGAAGCTCGGCCAAACTATTACTATTGTATCAATTGCTCAACCGCTCAACTGCTGCGCCTTCTGAATCTACCAAATATCTTAAAAATTTGTAGTCTTATTGAAAAATTATATATGAATTTTAGATAGTAAATTTAAAAACCTTTAATTTAATATATCGTCCTGTTTATAACAAAATAAACGCGTTTCATAGATATTACGAGCCAAAGTTTCATTTTCGAAATTCATACACTTTGATTCAATTACGCGGGCTAAATATAAGTTTTAAATTAATCTTTCGTGGCCAATAACAATTGGCTTAGACTTAAGACATCATAATATTACTATTACAATACCGTCAAATGCCTTTTATTTTCCCCCATACAAAATCGACCCAGCCTAATATGTATGTATGTATACTTACTTACGCAAGTGCAATAAAACTTCCAAATACTTGCCAAATCATTCGAAATTATAGGTAAAATATTGACTTTATTCAATGTGCGGAAAGATTCGGCATGCTTTACTGAACTCAACTTTGGTTGCAGAAATAATCGGGAATGGAATTCATATATAGTACATATTTACTTAGATTATATAAGAGATCGACGAGGCTAAAGAGTCGGATAACTGATATTGGCTGCCAACGGAAGGGAGGCAAAAAATCGGTTTAGTCTTTGGCGGACGGAGGCACGCATAGACATGTAAGACCGCTTAACTGGCTCAATGTTGATCCCCACCGCTTACATTGAAGTAGAACCACATAGTTTATCTAATAAAGCGTGAAGTAGTAGTGGAGATACCACCGCGTTAGCCTAGCCACACCCAGGCAGTGGAAAAAGGCCTCCATGCTCTCGATTTTGTTCATTTTCCAGACAGCCGACAAAGTGGCCATTCGCTCGCAAGCCCATGTTGTTGGTGTGCGCTCACAAATAGCTGTGGCTAGGGATGGCAAAAAAAAATGAAATGAAATAAATTTTTTATATCGTAGGGTGGGGTAAAGTTGGTGCAGCTAGCAAAAAAGACTGTTTGAGATGGATGGATTTTAGATTCCCTGTAGTCAAATGTACTAGTTGTAAACTACCTCATAACTAGTATGAGCCGAATGCCCAACTAGTCAGCCAACTATATTTTTTCCGTGCAATCAACTGCTATTTTTAACATGGCGATGCCCTACGAGATGGCAATTGGCAGATTTCGGTCAGAAATATACCAGTCTCATACTAGTTCAAAATGCACAGAAAAATACTAGCCCAGTTATGGACCAAAACCACTACTTTGGGAATCAAAAAAATAAAATGAATTCATGAACATGCAATAAAAAACGTTTGATTAAGTACACTTTAATTATGTATGTAGGACATTCTAATTTGCATTCCCTGAAATGAAGCAAAGAAGCGAAACAAATAAAATATTGTAGGACATTCTATTTTGCGTTACCGGCAATGCCTAAGAGAAGTGAAAACATTCGAAGGCATTATAACGTTATGCCTTCTAGAATACGTTACAACTAAAAGCGATTACCGATTTTTTGCTGGGTTATAGCACTACCTACTTCGACCATCGAAGGCACCATCGGAAACTGGGTGAATACTTCGCTCAGCAATGACTGTGAGGCATCGAAGGGCTGCAGGTGGGCAAAACTCATCTTGCCTTCAATCTCTGAAGGTATAAGTACCTAGTTTTTTCTCTCACTGAGCAGACGGGACTGCAGATAACTTCTTGGACCGCTGACAGGTCACTTCGCAGTATAACCTGACTGTGATAGGCGTACATGAAAACTCCATTTGCCTATTCTGCCCTGAGGAGAGTGAGATGGTGGTGCTTCTACCCAGCCTTTGCAAGAATTATGTATGAGACATTTGGCCGCGATGTGTTGAGAGACGAACAGCTGACGCCCAACCAACTTCGTTTATTCGTAAGTAATGCAGATTTAAAACAGCTAAGGTAAAATGGACATAAAAGTAGTAAAATGGGAGGCATCTAAATAATCTGCACGTCTTGTTTACTGCACGCGTTGTTTTGTGCTTGCTTCCGACAAAAAACAAAAGTTGGTACCTATGAACCCTAGAGAGCCTTATCTGGCCTATCACCGATTTTTTCGGCTTGCCCTTGTAAATTGCTCTGCTTCGTGTTTTTATTGCATTCTGTCATATTTAAATGAAGAACAAAACCAAACTTAGATACTTTCTTGTGAACTTGATGTAAATCCATTTTTTACTTCAAAAAGATCTGCAGGCAAATATTTAATTTGTTTAGTCACAATAACAACGAATTACAGTTGTAAAAATTTGCGTACATTTATGCAAAATATTTGCACTCCGCTTCCGCAGGCAACCAGAAAAGCAGCCAAATCGAGCAGTCAATTTCTTACGTAGTACATGTTACTGGAGTTGCGCATGGTTCTTGTGATTCTTCTGCTCTCTTTCTTCTTGTTTCCCATTCAGCGGTTGATTTTGATTGCATGCGACTTCTCAGCAATGCTGTGAAGATGCGTCAATTACTGCACACTGAAAAGTAAATTTTCAAATTCATTTAGATTTGTTTGAAATTTTGTCAATACGTGCGATTGGAAACACATGTATGTACGCTAAATAAAAGTAGTTATATGCTAAGTGCGGATGTGTTTATGTTAATATGTGCTTTTGTAAATGGCGGATGTGCTGGCCAATGATGCAGTGACCTAATGCATATCGCATGCTTACGTTCGATTTTTTTTTTTTGTGAATCTAGGCATAAACATCATTCAAAAATAAATTTTTTATAACAACGAGTCTCCAAAGTATTTTATTATGGTGCCAAACAATGTTTAGCCAAGGCAGATGAGTGACTAGGTGCTAAAGGGAGCCGCTGTCCTTAACATAAGTCAATTGTACCAATACTTGAAGACTATTTTGCTCAGTGCATAATTTGGCCAAATAACAAACTCAGCTCAAGAACTTAACCAAGAACTGGATTTAAGTACAATTAAAACAGAAATTGAATGCCAAGTGAATTCTAAAAATAACACTGGAATGGCCTGTCATGTCCAAGAAATTGAATGCCTTCTTTTTCAACACATTTTTTGGGTATAAAAAGTGCACAAGGCCAAACCTGAAGCATATTTGTAAAGTTAAAGCCAAGCAAACTACTTCGCAGCAAAGAAGTCCTAAGAAAATGTTTCGATACGTAAGCAGCTCCCAAAAATTAAATCCTTTCAAAGTCCTTTCAAAAACAGAAATAAATACAATTTTTATCTCCCACTCAGATCTGCTTAACCGCACTGCTCGCTTTCGCGTATGCCGCGCCCATCGACCAGCAAATGGCAACCATTGAGCCTGCCATGGAGCTGAGAGCGCCACCTGTCGACAATGTGCCAGCGGCGCCGGTGGAAATGAGAGCACCAGTGGTCGGCATAATGGAAGCCGGCCTAAAACAATCTACTGATGGCGCCTATAACTTTTACTATCGCGGCGAGGATGGCTCTTTCCGACAGGAAAGCGCTGTCGTAGTCCATCCAGGCAGCAAAAATCAACACTTGAAGATCACTGGCAGCTACTCGTACTTTGATGCCAATGGCAAGGAGGTGGTCGTTCTCTACAAGGCCGACGATCGCGGTTTCGTGCCGCATGGCAACAATATTATGCCGCAAATTTCCGCAGCGGCAAAACAGAATAGTCAACTGCCGCGCATGGTGGAAGAGCATGAGCCGATGCCACAATCGCCGGTTGTTGGTGGCGTATGGAGTGACATGACGCAGATGCAATGAGCTAGAAACACGCATGGAAATGTGAAAAAAATTGGTCAAGAGGGAAGAGCGCGGAACGGGGTAAACGCTATAACAGTGCAGTTGGATGTGAAAGAATGAAAGTACCTTTTTTTTTTGTTTTTAATTTTTATTTTTTATCTAACTTAACATTTAGCATCTTCTTGATTTGCTGCAAACGAGAATAAAAAGACTTTTTCACACAAATTGCTTCTGTTGTTAAATTTATGCTGCGTATTTTTAGGCGCAACTCAACATATGTTAGCGTATTTCTGGTGATTGCGCGTTGTCTCCAAATACTGAATACTGTTGCTGTAGTTTGACGACAAATCGTGCCGACTTGCAGTTGATGTTTTGTTAAGAAGTTGTACTGAGATTATCAATCAAGCTCAGTCGTATTAAGATTTTCGATCTTCAATTATACATGGGATTAGATGGCTTAAATTTTTCAAATGTGGTGATTTCCGAAATAGCTATCACTTCTACCGATTTTTTCAAAAATTATTGTTGCTTTTCCACAATAGTTTTTCATTAAAAACCACCTCAAGCTCAGTTAAAATTGTTGTATATACATAATTGTTATAAGGCCTTAAAATTCACATTATTCATAATGTTACAGGCTAACTTAGTATTCATGCACGCCGCCAATTTACTGTCAAGAATTTCTCATGCACATACAACTTGTATGGGACGAACCGAAATTGAAAGGCGTGCGTCTGAAGCCAACTCAATTTCCAACGTTTCGTTCAATGAAACGAAATGCAAACGCACGCAAGCCAATTTCGGGTGACGCAAAAATACAAATTCGACGGCGTGCGTACCTAACCGAAAGTCGCGAATATTAGGTTAGCCTGTAAAAGCCTGATTATGACAACTTAACTCAACGGAACGTAGAACTTAGAGAATCAAAATTAAACAGCTTTCGACGTGGCATTAAGTTACGTTAAATTTCGGCTGTTGAATTATAAGCAATAACCATTTAACTGAATTTTTAAGAGAGTGCCGTAAGTTACGTTAAGTTGCTATAATTATACCATTATTCTTTGCTTTTCTCTGCCGCTCAGCAGAATCGACATTTAGCGGTCAACCAAGCAACAACATTTTTGTATTCGTGCTAACTTAGTTTTTGTTGTTAACTCAGCGCTTATTTTATTGCCAACAAATTTTAGTTTATGTTAAAATATATGGACAATTGTCGTCTCGCTTATCTATGTCCAATTTGTTTACTTAAGCGGGTTTCACTGTATCGATATCGTTAAGTGCTGTGATGGTGCCGTGCACTTTGCGGAAGTATTATGATGCTTACCTTACTACTGGGTAAAGGAAACGAAGACTACCCTTTTCTAATTGTTTTCCCTGGCTTTAGTTGTGTCTGAACAAGGCTCACGTGGATCGATAGGAAAGTGTGTATTGCTTCATTCGGCATTCACAGCATATCCAGTGAGGAAGTAGACAATTTTGTTGATATGTTTAATTTATTTATTTAGAGTATAAAACTGGGATTAAACTAAATATACATACATACAAGATTGCTTCTAAATTTCGCTATAAACTACAAACAAAAGCTTCGTACATGGAATGATGGTGGCTATTTGAAAATTTCTCGAGTGCTAAAGACTATAAAAAGCTTACGAATATATTGCTTTGAGCAGTTAACATAATTGTTTATAAATACAATTTGGACTCAAAGATGTTAGTATTCGTTGTGCATCGAAAGCAAATAGTGTTTTTTAGCTATCGCTTTTCGGATGGGGTGAATTGTATTCGTGGAAGAACAAACATTTTTTTTGAAAATTTTGAAATCCGCTTACAAAATATAATGAAACTAATATGTGTACTAGCATTTATAATTATTTTTATATACCATATTCATATAAGTATAACTGTAACTACGCCGCATATAGTTAATTTCTCACTTTTCAGTTTTTTTTTTCAAAAATACTAAATCTACATATTTTCACTTCTTTAAATATTTGTAAGCCTTTAAATGTCGATATTTTACATTCCCAATGCGTCAAGTTTTACTTCTTAGCAGCGCCCAGACTTCCACCCCCGCCACTGTTGCCCATACTGCTGCTCAACAAATGTGCGCCTCCACTGCTGGGTGGTGGCGAGCTTAGCTGTTGGCGGAAATTGCCCACACCTACAGGCCTGCGTTGCTTGATGCGTTGTTGTAGCGTGTGCAGCAGACCTGAGAGCACATCATGATTGGGTATCTTTTTGGCGAAGAGCAAACGCTTTACCGAATCGTCGTAGGTGAGAAGAGCGACCATATTCTGCAACAAGAAGCCCTGGCAGTACTCGAGTAGTTTGCTGGCGTTGTAAACCTACGACAGCAAATGTTAAGTAAAATTTTAACTCAGCTTAGATAAATATATTTACACTCTTACCTTCGCATGTATGTACATGGCCACCACATTGTCGATGTCGATCATCTCAGAGCAGCGTGATTCGGTGTAGCGCAGGAGGCCCTCCAGCTGAAAGAAGCTCGCCGCCGCCATCAGCTCCAAAACGTCAGCGTTGCTGACCTCCAGTGTGGCACAGCCACCGCTGTACAGATAATGCATGACCAACTGGAATATGTGGTAGCGTATGTCATTGATTTGCACCGTGGGCGTGTTTCCCTCACTCAGCTTGGAGCTGAGCATGCTCTGGAAACGCGGCGAGGCGGTTACCAGCACTATCTTGTGACCATAGAAAATTTTGCCTTCCACTCTGAAAACAAAAGAAAATTATTAGGCGCGTATTCGTTTTCTAAATTCGCTTGTTTTTTTTTCTCACCTGAAAGTCACATCGCTCAACTCTGGATTGTTGACAAATTTCGGGTCGATACGTGAGCTGTTCACCGACTGCAGCGCAGGCTCTTTTATGGGTTTGATTGTCTCCCAGCCGAAGCAGGTGGCGAAGATGTCGGCCAGCAGAAGCGTTGTGCCCTCGTTCTTACTGTAGCGGAAGATATTGAAGAGCAGCGGCAGGCACTCGCTCACAAACTGCGCGCTGTAGTCGTCTGGACATACCTGTAGGAAGTCTTGTAGTAGTTGGTCGATCACCGCATCCAAGCGCAGCTCATGCGCAGCCGCCAAGGCGTGCATCCAGCAATGCAGCGTCCAGGGTACGCCTAGGGTGCGCAGTTCTATTGTTATATCTGGCATGGAAAGTTGTTTGGTTAGCCGATCTCACATATTGAGTGAAATATATATCTACTTACCTAAATGATTGTTCTCGGCGCTGTGGTACATAGCCTCTTGCAGGCTCTTGATTTGCGTCTTGTTTAGTGTTAGTGGTAGATCAGCGCTTATGCGTTCACCGGTCGCATTTCCAGCACCGGCGGCTCCCCCACCACGCGTGGCGTTACCGACTGGTTCTCCTTCGGCAAGCATTTCTTCGAGCGAAAGTACATCTTTGATCCCTGGTGACATTGGATGAGAGAGCAGCTTTCGCAAGCAAGCGCGTTGTCCATGCGCGGCTGCTACAGAGATAGCACAATAAGAGCCACGCTGCGCCGAACCGCCGGCGAAACACATTGTGTCCTTTTGTTGTGTAGAGAGAAAAGCGTTCGCGCCATGCGCCAGCAGCAGTGAAATTATTTCAACATTACCAGAGCCGCAGGCTACTTGCAGCGGTGTTAACGTTGGCTTCTCCTCGCTTAAGCGCGCCCCACCTTCCACTTTGCCGCCTCTCTCGAGCAGCAAACGCAATGCTAGGTAATTGGCGCGACTCGCGGCGAATGTCACTGCTGTCCAGTGCTGTGTGTCTGGATGTATGCCTGGATAGTTCGTCTGCACAACTGGTGGCACCTCCACATTTGGATCGCAGCCGGCATCAAGCAGCGATTGTATGACCACCTCGTCATTGCGTATAGCAGCGATCATAAGCGCCGTGAGTCCAGCGTGGTTCAACGTATCATAACGCGTCGTGGGCGGCAGCAAGTTGGCTGCTTGAGCCAATAATTCCGCGCGCCCGGTCAGCATGAGCTTAAAAGCCAGAGTGATGGTAGCGCGCTTGCCCAACTCCGTGGTGTCTTCGCTGATGCTCGACGCAATGGGTGTAGTAGCGCCAGGATGTGAAAAGTGTGTCTTCTTTGTAGGTAGCTCTTCGTCGTGAGCGATCGACCTCAGGGGGCAATCAACGCCAGGCAAAAGCAAGCGCGCCGCCTGCATGATATCATCCCTATCGATCATAACTGCGTGACGGTACTCTGCGTGCGCTGAGGCAACACGCAGCCATTCGACCAATGGGGGTAGCACCACATATGCGCGTTCGTAGCAAAGCTCCTGTACGTTTTGGCTGCTGCCGCCAGCGCTACCACTGACACTCGATGGTGCACCGCTCAGATCGCTGTGCTCTAGTTGCGAGCAACGCATGAAGTAGAACAGCGCAGAGAGCGCAGCATTGGAAAGCGCGGTGTGCTGAAACTTCTGTTGAGCGCGCAGCGTCAAGTCTTTTAGTTCGCTTATGCTGCCAACGCAGGTCGTGAGCAGGCAGGGCTCCAGGGACACATTGCTGTTGGCGCCAGAACTTCCACTCTTCTGGGTACCCGAGCCGAGGGATGACAGGCTGGCCCAACGTGGCATTGTAAGTGCACCGGAAGCCACTCGCCCTGCATTCAGGTGCGCGAATGGCTGCAGTAGACCCCACAGATCACCGGAATGTGCAATAGATTGGTCCAACACGGTCGTTGTTAGTTGGTTTGAATTATCCACGGGAAAACTTTGCAGAAGTAGCTCCTCAAGCAGATTTTCCATGCCAGCGCAGAGATACACCGCCCCGTATTCATGTATGAACTTGCCGAGTCGCGCATCGGCCATCCAACGATGAAAGCGTCCCACGGGTAACTGTAGTCCAGCACGCGCTGATTTGCTTTGCTTTAACGCGCTGTCGCCCGTAACAGCGAACATCGCTGCTGCGCGCAAGCACGCCTTGATGCAAGAGTCTGCCAATGCCGGACATAGAACGATTTTGTAAGCTGCTGCCACCTCTTGTTTGGAGCACAGTCCCAGGCTGGCTGAGAGGCGTTGCACTTCGCGCGCTATACGCACCAACGCGCGTTGCAGCAGATAACCCAGGCGCGGTATGGTTTCGACTGATACACGCTCCGCCTGCTCTTTGCAACGGCCATTTCGTACAACGCGCATAATGCAGTGCTGACTCCAGGGCGGATTCTGCAATTCCACAAGGCGATTATGTG